TGCTGGAGCGGAGCCATCCTCTGTGTAATGCGGATCCGGGAGTGTGCGTGATGCACTGCATGATGACAGAATTTCTGGGAGATTGGCCTAAACCGAAATCCTTGGACCGCCGCTCCCTGGGACCGCTCCGCCGGAGGAGTGGGGAGGCTGGAGACGCCGAACCTGGACCTGGAGCGGGGTTTTTGCAGCTGTGAAAGCATCCCAGCAAGAGCCGAGCGATCCCGGCTGCTCCGCGTCTGCCCTTCCCTGCACCGGGGACTCGGCGCTGGCGTTTGGTCGCTTGGGTCGTGGCCACGGCCGCGTCCGTGTCCGGTGCTGCCGGGGGGAGTGGACACCTGAGAGGGTGTGAGGGGCTCCCTGCTTGACCCCTCTGGGAGTCAAGGGGTTCAGCTTGTCTGTGGTGCTGCAGCTGAGCTCCTCCGTGCCCCAAAAGTACCCCAGTGCTGCCGAGCAGAGCCAGGAATGGGCTGCCCTGCCCACGCCAGCTGGGCTGGAAAGCCTGGTTGGAAATCTTGCTGAGAGGAAAGAGAAACCTGCTGGACCACTAAATGGCATTTTAAGCAAAACCCTGATGCATCAGTGTGTTTTTCTCTCGTTAGTGCTGGGTTAGGCTGCTCTGCACCCACACAGGAGGTACCACTTTACTGACTCCTGTAGTTGTGTCTGCCCTAACTCCACCCTGTGCTGCTTCAGAGAAGCACCAGCCATGGAAAATCCCACCCTGTACTTCCCATGTGCCTCCTGACTCTTCAGAAGAGCAGGAGATCTTCTTTGTACACCCAAAAAGGACGTTTATTGGGGCTGGGATAGCTGGAAAGGAGCTGAGAGATACCAAGTGGTCCCAAATATGTGCTTGAGTTGCTCCATCTCTCCTTTTCTCCAGGCTGATGGACAAGGCTGGTTTCTCATAGTGCATCTGCACCATGTCCCAGGGTTGTGGAGCCCCAGGTCTGTGTGGGACATTGGTGGAGCCTCCCCTTTTCTCCTGGAGACCTATTTTATCCCTGTCACAGGACACAGACGTCTCCTGCACATCAGAACCAGATGGTGATGGAGGATCTCAGGGCAAGACCCCTCCCTGGGACTCCCCAAAGAGCTCCTACCCCTACCACCACTCTTGAATTTTCAGGGGGATCTTTGGATTCTTTGCTGATTCCAGGGAGGAGGAAGGACTTCTCTGATATTCCTGGTGGATGCATCTCCTTGGGTTGTCCATCACTGCTCCTGATGAGCTCCATGTGCCTCAGGATGGAGCAACAGCACTTTCTGATGGGATAGCACCACCATGGCCTGCAGGCATCAAAGTGGTTAAAGGGAAAATCATAGCTCCACAGTCTGAGTTAATCTGGCCAGGCTCACAACTTGAACATGCGTGGAGGAACAGCAGTGTGAGGGTGAGGAGGGAAAACCAGCATGTGGAAAAAACCCCCTGAAGCCGTCTTTCAAAATCACATGGTGATAAGGCATTTTCTGGAGTGCCCCATGCAGCTGGCAGCAGAAACCAGGCTTTAATGTTTGGGTCTGGCTAGTTTTTCACTTTCTGCAGCCAAAGGGATCTGGATCAAGTTTGCCTGGAAGATTAGCTGGCACTGAGCCCTACTAGACATCTCTGGAAGCCTCCCCTCCAGCAGGAGTAGGTCCTAATTCCCCTCTCAGCCAGCCCTGCCGTAGGCAAGCGTGGGGGAACTTGTGTCCCCTGGAGGGGACAATCCCACCAGCCCTCTCCCCTCTGACACACTGGGTCCCTGCTCCTCCTGCAGTGGGAGAGCTGGGAGAGTGCAGAGGTGAGTGAGAGCCCAGAAGATCACTGCCTGCCACCCTGCTCCCTGCACAGTGGGGGTGATGCCCCACAGCCCGAGGGGTGGGATGGCAGCAGGAGCCTTGGCACCAGCACCCAGCTGTTGTGGCTTTGCATCAACCCTCGCCTGGGGACACATGTCCTTCATGTGGTCTGTCCTGCTGCTGGAACTGGGTTGGGAAATGGGGTTCCTGAGAGCCCCCCAAGCAGGACAGGCCTCCCCCCCTGCCAGCTCCGGGGCAGATGTGCCCCAGCCGCTGCACACCGGATTTGGGACCGGCTGTGGTGTCCGGCCACATCTGAGCCGCCAGCTCGGGGGCAGAGCTGGCAGGGGATGGAGGCATGGGAATGCAATGCCATCCTCAGGGGGTCAGTGGGCACCCCATGCTGACCCAGACACAAAGCAAATGGCATTTTGTGCCTGGGGAAGCCTGGCAGAGCAGGGGAGGCTGGTGGGCTCTGCCGCCCTGGGCGCTGCTCTGCCGCTGCTCTGGGAGCAGATGCCGATGCCTCCGGAGCGAGCGGAAAGCCCGGTCCCTCCCCTCTCATTCCTTTTTTCCTTTTTTTCTGTCTTCTTTTTCTTCCCCCCCCCCCCCCCTCCCCGGCTGATCTTAAAGAAGCCCCGGCGGTTTGGGCTTCGTGAAACCCAAATGCCTTTTGCAGCATCAAGCCCGGATCCCATAAGTAATATCCCAGCGCTGGAGAATAAGACAGTATATGAAGTAGACGGGGAGCTATAAAGACGCTTTAAAAGGGGCAATAAAAGTTTTGGGTTTCATATCGTCTTACCAAAGAAGAGAATAACAGAGAAGCAGGAAATTTCAGTAGCAGACATGACAAAGGTCACAGCACTCAGACTGCACCTTAGACGAAAACACCTACTCTTATGAAAACAGCCAGAATTTTTGGCAGGGGCTCAAGAGCTCTTACAGGCAAAGCTCTCGGCAGCGCTAAAAGGTTACAAGAGACTGTTTTGTCTACGTTGCTGTAGATGTTTATAATATTTCCCTGCATCGGTGTTGCAGGGGATATCCTGCCTGGGATAGCGAATTCAGCCCCTGCACCTTCCTCCCGGTGCCAGGGTGCCGGGTGCTGCCACCAGCACGGGGCTGATGCTGTGACAGGGACCCTGCAGATGTGCCCAGGTGTGTTTCTGTCCCAAGGCTGGGTGCTGGTACTGCCCTGGGGTGCAAAGGGATGGATAGTTGTCACAGTCGGAGCAGCACATCGGCAGGGAGAGGGGATAAAGCAAACCTTGCCTGGGATTTTGCTGAATGCAATACACTTCTGGGGATTTTTTGGTGTAACACCTGAGTACAGGTGGGAGCAGGAGCTTTCATTTACTCAGTTGGTCCTCAGGTAATATGTCCTCCTTATTTACGTGGGGTTTTCCCACCTTTGGTCCCTTCTGCTCAGCCCCAGTCAGGTGTTAGGATCACCCAGTGCCCTCCTCGCAGCGCTGGACCCACACAAGGCTCTCCCCACACCCACACTGCCCATGTCCCCCAGGGCTTGCTGCAGGGCTGTGCATGTCACTGCGGTCCAGGAGGGAACAAACAGTCCCAAAATGAGCCGTGGGGGTCAGGGTACCTCTGATCAGTGGATACAGCAAGTAGCCCAGGGTATGTGGAGCGATGGAGGCTGCTGGCACTGCTGGTCTGGCTCCTGGGCAGTGTCAGCACTGAGTATTTGTGGGGTGATGAACACCCAGAGATGTGCTTGGGTGGCTCAGCCAGAGCCAGCAGGGCTGTGGGATGCCCATGTGGATGACCCCTTGGGAAGCAGCACCCTCAGAGGCAGCTCTTGCAGTCTGAATTAGGAGTCAGGGCACTTGAGACTGTTTTTGGGGCACACCCTGAGCAGTCCTCACATGTCAAAGTACTCCAATAGCATGAAAGCAATGGGGAAAGCCTTGCATGCAAACCCTTAGAGCATCTTGTAAATGTGCTGGGGGCTGGATGCTGGAAAGGAGTGGTGTGCTGTGTTGGTTTAGGTGCTGGGGAACCCTTTGAAAGCCTTTGCTAGCACTGCTAGCACTGCCTCTGTGTGCAGCTGCATCAGCTGTGCCACCACTTGCCAGTGACTCTTGGATGCTTGGGGGTTCATAATTCATTTGTATTTTTGTTGGAAGCCCATTCAGTTTTGGTTGTTGCCCCGTCGCAGGAAGTTGCTCTGATGAATGACTGGGGTGGATTTCTCTTCCAGAGGAACCCAGGCTTAATGTGGGCTTTCTGTGGACATCACTGTATATCAATACTGCTCTAATTGTCCATGACATATAGTCTTGGCATTTTTCCCAGACAGTCTAAATAAATCATACACTTCTGCTATAGTAAATAGTCTGTTAGAGGAGATGTTATAGGCTTACAGCTCTCCCCATCCCTCCAGGAGCTTCTTTTCTCTGCCTCTAATTTTCCATGTACTTTCCATACCAATGAGGCACCTGCTGCCTGTGCCTGCAGGTCTGTAAGGACAAAGTGCCCAATGTTGCAGGTCCCTCCAGGCTGGGGGGGGGCTGTGGTGGCTGTGCCCAGAGCCCTGCTTTGGAATTGGCATCTGCCCTGAGCTGAGCTGAGTGGAGCTGGAAAGCTTCCTGCCCTGCTTAAGAAACGCTGGCATTGCACACTTGCAAAGTCTGTGTTAGTATATATTATTTACATCAAGAGAATGCATAAATAGAATAGTCAATATCTCACAAAAATACAGGTTCTGTTAATTGGGTGTTGCAAATGAAGCTTTGCTTGCTCAGGCTGGGAAAACCTGCACAGGGGGGACAACTTGGGTCCTCCCAGGTCAGTGCAAGGGACAGCCCAGGAGGTGACATAGCCCAGGAGTGCAGGGGTCTCCTGGGACAGGGGACAGGTCACAGGTGCAGCCCAGATGAGTGCTCCTCCAGGGAGAAGTATGGATATGTACCAAACTGGAAGTGCAACCTCTGCTAGGGCTGATAGTGGAAAGGTGAATCACAGAATGGTTTGAGTTAGAAGGGACCTTAAAAGTCCATCTCACTTCAACCCTCCTGCCAGGGGCAGGGACGCTTTCCACTAGGCCAGGTTTCTCAGGGAAGAAAATCCCAGGGTGGGCACAGAGCTGGTGGGAAAAGACGCCAGCGTGCCAGAGGAAGATGCAGCAGGCAGGCATTTTCCTTTTGGCTGAACAGCTCCATTGCCCCAGGAGCAGAAACACGAGTGCCTGGCTTGCCCAGGGGGCTCAGACACAGCAGCAGAGCGTGGAGCAGTCGAGCCTGGCGGGGGTCCCGGCGCTCCCAGCCTTCTTGTTCTCCTTGGGCAGCAGCAGCACGAAGGCCATGGCCAAGGCACAGTGGTAGAAGCTGTGCACGTAGGTGTAATCCCACTCCTGCAAGCAGGAAGAGCATTAGCAAGATGTGGGAACAGCGGTGCTCGTGGTGGGGGGGGGAGCTCATGTAGGTGCACAACACTGAAGTTCTACAAGTAGCCGAAAGGAAAGGAATAAAAAGAAATATTCCTGAACCTTCTGCCTCTCTTTGCCATCGGGGAAGAAAGGATTTCCAGTTTAAAAAAAAAAAAAAAAAAAAAGGCAAAGTGGATTTAACACGTTCTAATTTGCACATTTCCCAATTCTTGAATGAAGTGTTTCATTACCCCGCGAAGGACGCGGCGGCGGGGCCGGGCGGCGCGGGGAGGCGGCCTCTGCTAAGTGACATTTTTATGTTCTGCTAGAATTTGCAATTACTAAAATGCTTTGAAAAATAATCCTGGGGGACGGCCGCGAGGTTGTATCTCGCAGCTCCCAAAGCACAGAGCAGCCGTAACGGCGGGGCCGAGCGCAGGCAGCTGTGTCGGGGGGTTATCGCCTGCCCCGCGCGGGACAGACGGACAGGACGGACAGGCTGGCCGGCGGCGGGACCAAAAGGATATAAACACAGGATCGAGTGCCCCTGGGAGTCAACTGAGAGTCTTTTCTTTGGCCTGAGCCAGCTCTGGATCCGGCCATGCCTGGGTTGTATCCAGTCCCTCTGCGAGGTGTCCTTAAGTCACCCGTGCCCAGTTTCCAAAAAATCTCGCTTGCACTTGACAAAGCCATTTTGAGGACCATGGATGTCTGGAGAAAATGTGTCCTATGTCCTTGTGGTTCACTTAAGGGGGAAAAAATAGAGGGAGCATCACCCTGCATGACACTTGCTGTTGCACCTGTCCCTAATGGACCAGGGGGTGGGATGGGGACAGGCATGGAGGGACCCTCGTCACTGCATGCCAACCCTGGAGCCCCACACCCGAACTGGGTTCTGTCCAAGGCTGATACAGTCCAGCAGTGCAAAGGGGGGAAGTCTCCTGTCTTGGTAATGTCCCTTACACCTTGTAAAGTCAGGGAGAGTGAGTGTGCAAACAGGTACCTCAAAGAAGAACCTCAGCATCAGCGCTAATGCCCCGAAACAGAAGCCAGGACCGATCTGTTGGGTGTAGACGCTCTTGTCTGGATAGAGCCCTTTCTTCTCTTTCATCTTCTGTAGCTGGAAGGAAGGAGAGAGCACACCAAGTGTATTTACCTGGATTTGGCTGGCTGCTCCACATCCCAAAGACCCTATGGATGCTGAGATAAAACCATGCAAAGCCCACTGACCAGCTCCCCCAGGCTATGAGATCTGCCCGTGTGCTACGATGAGCCCTCCTGCCTCATTCCTCATAATAAAACTGTTTTTTTTAATATTCAGCCCCAAATCCAGCTCAGGGAGTGCGTGCCCTCACAAACCCAGTCTCTGCGAGAGCAGATCCCAGCAGAGCATCTGAGGGCTGGGGGATGCACGGTGGCCTCATGCCTTGGTCTCCTCCTTGCCCACCCCCTCCCCATGGTGGTGGCTTTTTTTAGCTGCTGGCTGGGCAGTTAGATGGGCTTAGCAACCATTTATAGCTGGGACTTGCATCACAGTATTTCTATGATGCTTGGCAGCATTTTCCTGCAGTTTTTATCCCATCTCTCCTTGCCCACTCCTGCTTCCCCACCTCATGCCTGACTGTCCCAGCTGGATTCAGGCAGACTGCAGGCAGATTCCTTCCCACTTTATCACCGTGTTTTATCCACATCTTCCCCTGGCTCCAGGGCAGTTTACCAGACCCCTCTGCCTCTGAGTAGCTGTAAAAACTCCATAAATACGTTCCTCCTGATTAGAAACGCAGGGACGGGAGATGTGGTGGATTGCTCAGACCGATTGAATCTGGCATTTATCACACGGGCTGCTCGCTGTCTGCCTGCTCTCTGCTCGGGTGGAAGGAGAAGTGCTGCTTAATCACCTCCGTGGCCTGTGCTGTGAGAGGTGGATCTGGAGGAGGAAGCTGCTGGCCATCCCTGCAGGGCTCAGCCCCTTCCCTGCCCTGCCCCACGTACCCATTTCACAGTGATCACCAGCACCGCTGTCCCGATGGGCCCCGAGTAGACGCCGTAGCCCCAGCGGTCGTGGTAGATCCTCACGGCGATGGTGAGGACGCCGAACATGATGAAGGTCGATCGCTTTGGCTCGTCAAACTCTGCCAGGGCTGAGGGCAGCGAGCACAGGGAGCATCAGCTCACACACCCCCCCCCCCTTTTCCAGCTGCTCCCTTAAAGCCTTACTGGGATCTGCCCCACCCACCCTGGGGACCCTCAGCTCTGTGTCTGTCTGGTTTGCCCTTCTCGTGCCACACAGATGGGGAAACTGAGGCACGTGAGGGCAGAGTGAACCATCCTCAGGCAGCTGAGGGGTGGGTTTAGTAGCTGATTTTTGGGTTTTATTTTAGTGTTGCGTATGGAAGCTTAAAGGAGACTTCCCACCCAGAGAAGTTGTGGATGTTGCGTCCCTGAAAGTGTTCAAGGCCAGGTTGGACAGGGCTTGGAGAAACCTGGTTTAGTGGAAGGTGTCCCTGCCCATGGAAGGGCAGTTGGAACGAGATGAGTTTTCAGGTCCCTTCCAACCCAAACCATTCTGTGATTCCGTGATTTCCCTTTCCTGCCTCTACATCAGAGGTGGATTGTAAGACACTTGCACCCAGCGATCCTGCAATCAGTTCTTGAGTTCATTCTACATCTCCCACCCTCCCAAGCTTGCTGGGTCACCCCAGCCCAGCCTCCATCCCACCACTCCAGTGGGACCGTGCGATGGGGTCCAGGCTGCCCAACCACGCCGGCACCTGCCTGAGGTTCGCAAGCTGGAAGTCGCCAGCGTGAGTAAATTATTAGAGGCTTTTGTTTAGCACAGAATGGGGTAATAACTGATAAAAGTTATGGATCCCAGTGGGCTCCATGCTTTTCCAGCTTGCACAGCTGTGTTATGGCTGTCCTGGATTTGCATTCCGGGAAGCTTGCCCGAGGGTCTGCGTCCGCACATGTGCGCTCGGGCTTTACAAGCCACAGTGAGAGGCTTCCCTGGGCTTCAGTCACCACACCTTCCATGTCCTTGGATCGTGGTTTTATAGGGAGTTTGGCTAAGGGATAATGTCCGCATTTTAATCTCTGTTGTTTCCCAGAGGGTCAATATTTTAAACGTTGTAGTCCAGGATTCGTATTTTTTTTGCAGGGTTTTTGAATGCAGTAATGAAGCAATCAAGTTGAATTTTGCTGCAAGGAGCCAAAGTGTCTGGATCAGTTCTGACCTACCCTGACACTGCTGTTATCCACTGGAAATGCCCTTTGGAGGTGATTTGCCTCGTTGCCTTTTCTAGCTGATCAGAGAGAGCGCTTAGGTGCCATGAGCAGTGTGGGAGCCCACCTTGGGACTCTCATTTTGGGGGGACAGAGCCATTCCTAAGGTTAATGTTTTCCCCACTCATTTTTCCCTGCATGGAAGGTTTGTCCTGTCACATGCACTGGAAGGGGAATGCTGCTGCCTGTGGCAAAGGGAGGAGGGATGAACCTGTGCCTGGCGGAGGGGGTGGGCTCTGCTTGTGGTGGGTTCAGGGGCTGCAGGAATTCCCATCCCAGCAGGAGATCCTGCACCATCCCTGGAGTCCTGAGGGTCAGAGGGGAAAGTCCTGTGGGCATTTTGGGGTTGTACATCAGAGTGCTACTCAGCAAGTCTGCATGTCAGTCTGGAGTGGGGACTGGCTAGAGATGGTCCAAATTGTTGAGCAAAGCATTTGCTGTTGGACACATCTCTCTCCCCTTCTCCTGCCCTGTTCTCCTGCCACCAATACTCACATCCTTCCAAAAATCGTTGTGACAAAGTGTGTAAATAGTAGATCTGGGTTTTTGTCCTTCTTTAGTTCTGTCACTTTTTTTTTTTCCATTTCTATTATGCTTTGTTTCAGTGGCAAACGAGTAACAAAATAAGGAAAAAGAAAGTGAAATGAGTGTGAGAAAAGGAAAACTGAGTAACAGGGCAAGGGGTGGGATTTCTAATAATAAGGAAGTGAAACAAATTTCTGCTTTTTCTAAGCAGATCTAATATTTCCCGTCAGCCCAGACTAGGCTTTGATGAATTAGGAAGATATATTTGTTTTGACCCTTTGATTCTCGTGCTACCAAGGGAAGTGGCAGATTCTGCATTTCTTAATGCCCCCAAGTCAGACAAGACAAGCTGATGGGCCCATTATGGGGAAAATGAGAGAAAATGGGAAATTCCCTGGTATATGAGGTTTCAAACTAAGTCATCACATAGTCTTGTCCTGCCTTGAACTGAAGCACAAGGCTGCCAAACTGTTACTGTAATTTGAAGTAAATAATTCTGCTGTTGTAAGGACGTGCACAAGAGCTGGTGCAGAGAGAGGAACACCCAACTAACACAAACACCAGGTGCCACAGCTCTGTTTATAAGTGCAAAACTCCCCCAACCACCACTCAGGACAGTTTTGTGTGTGTCTGGACCCCACCGAATGCAGTGACTTTCCAAGGTATTGATGATCTAAAACCAGATTAATCCATAGCACAGGCTGGCTTCCCTAAAGGACAATCTCAGGGCTAAGTCCTGCAGATGGAAGCTCAAAGGCAGCAGCTTTCCTGAGGATAGTACCCACTAATTGTCCCACCAGCAATCCTGACAAATCCTGCCCTTCCTGCCAGTGCTGGTGCTCTGCAGGAACCACGACAGCCCAGTGCTTACCCATCAGGGACACCCAGATGGACAGGGCTGTCCCGTAGATGCTGAAGTACTCCAGGATGTCGTAGCGCATGAAGCACAGCACTGATAAGCCGGGGCCATCACATACATGGTAAAACTATTAAAGAAAAAAAAAGAAAGAAAAAAGGATTAGAAAACTGGTCCCTTACCCAACAGACCAGCATGGGTAAAGACTCTTATTAACTGGTTTGAAATACTGTGGCTGTTGGGAGGACGGCCAGCCAGGACAGAACAGTGTCAAATGCACCAGGGTCACTGATATGCAGTAATGAATATATTTGGGAGATAATGTCACCGTTCCCAATTGCAGATTACCCAAGAATCAGCATTCTTCTCTCTTAGTACAAACTAAGACAGGCTTTAATTTGCCTCTTGGTCTGTGCCAGAATTTGCAATCTGATGACCAAGCTGCTTTGAGCCGAGCCCCAGGCACTGGGGGACGTCCTCTCCAGCAGGAGGACTCTGGGGTTATGGTTCTAATTGCGAAAGATTCTTGTAAAACAATTCAGAATGAGTGTCCTGATGAAATGTGTATGGATGCCAGGTCACTGTCCAGGCTAAACAGGGTTTATACAGCCAGAGTCTGAATGCTGGGGAATTCACTCATTAGTGCATTCCCTTAAAAGCTTCTGGTTCCTGCCCATTAGCTCATTGATTAGGTTATTTGCAAAAAAACCCCATTGTCATGCAACACAAACGCAAACCTGAGCCAAGAGAAATTTTCCAGTGCAATCAGAGGAATGCTCCCAGTGTTTGCCTGGTGCTTGCCTTTTCCTCCCTCCCAGCTCTCAGCCCTGCAAGTTTTCTAGTGGCAGCACCAGCGTGCTCTGCTGTTTCTGAAGAAGTCCCTTCTCTGCTTGGCAGGACGCCCTTGGAACGATCCTCGCTGTCACGGCCCAGTGGGGATGCTGATATTATTTATAATGGGAACTGCTGTGAGTCCTTTGGCTCGCTGCAGCTTCTAGAAAAGATTGCACCACAGCAGTAATTCTTTTCTCTGTTTGAGATTGGGCTCAGGGAGTCTGGAGACAGGGGGAAGAAAGGGTGGAAGACAAAGAGTGTGTTTCTGGCCGGCGTCGCGGCACTTGTCTGCGATGGACATATGCTTTCACTGCTCTGGCGAGGTCTCCTGGGGGAGGAGGAGTGGGATGCTACAAGAAAGGCAACAACAGCAGCTGCTGCCCTTCCTACCCCCCCCCCCCCGACACTGGCAGCTGCCTCCCCTTCTTTCCCTTCCTTCCCTTCCCCGTGCACAGATATTTTGCCTCTTCCATCTCTTCGGCGAGGACCTGTTCCACCTCCTGTTGAAACACGTGCCAATTTTCCTATTGACTTCTCGGGGAGGTGGAGCAGACACAAGCCCCATGCAAAATGAAATTGTAGATGTCTGGCTTCCCTGGGGAGCTGGTGTGGGGGGAAGGGGGCTTGGGGATGTTTTTATATTAACTAGTCCTGTAGTTTTTATAGAACTGGCAGAATTTCTCCCCCCGCACCGTGCTTTAATTGGAGGCTCAGATGGTGGATCCTTAGGAATAAGAGACCAACCTTGTTCAGAGCCCTGCTGCTGTGAAAGAGCTTTTCACACCAGGAATATCCTTTACCTACTCCCTGCCTCAGCTGCTTCGTGCAAGGGATGTGCCAACCCTCATGAGATGCCCTGAGATGGAAGGGAGTTAGAGGTAAATGCAATATCAGTTGGGTTGCTGAGTTATTTTCTTCATATTCTATAGCAGAGCATTGCTATGGAGTTAAATAGGAGATTTTTCCTAGTGGGAATACTGCTTTGGGTGCTCCACTGGCGTTTATATGGAGTCACTTAGCAGGAATGCAAAGCACAGGGCAGTGCACTGCTGGGAGCAGGAATAGGAATATTTTGTATATGTACAGACAACTGACTTTCTCCACTCATTATTTTCACACAAAGCAAGGCCAGGCAACTCAGAGCCTGGGGAAACACAGGTTTCAAAACACTCAACCCAGGTGAAGGGTTAATAATTATTTTTCTTGCTAGCTCAGCAGCATGTTTTAGTCTCTCCTTTCCCAGTGCAGAAACTCCCCTGACTCCAGCATTGCTCCCATCCCCAGCTGGCAGTTGCAAAATCAATAATTCAACTACTATGTGCTTTTGGCTAAAATGACAGAAGCATAGCAAGAGGTTCTGGATGCAATTTAAAGCCCAAATTCAGCATGGCCACTTACCAGCTGTAAAACAAAGAGAAAAGCCTGCTCCAAAGCATTGCAAATCAGTCAAGGCTCTTTGCACCCAGACCCCGTCCCTGACTTCACAACCATAAAACACCACTAAATCTATGTAAGGCCACCCCGTAGGACACCCTAAACTAAAGAATCAGATGATCAGCACCACACGTGGTGGGAAATAACCGAAAATGGATATTCTGGGGGTTGCACTCGCTGGTGTTGGGCGAGATCAGCCACCCTTCCCAGTGGGGACCCGATGCAGGGGGTATTTGGGGGGGGATAAAACATGCCAGGGGGGTGAGAGGGGAGCGTATATAGGGACATCTTACCGCCACGAAGAACATGGTGAAGAAGTAAACCATGGCTTCCATGTGGAAGCGCCGCTTGGCCGCGATGCTGATGGTGGGGAGGAAGACCAAGGTGCTGAGGGTGGGCAGAAGGAGCTTGGCCACCAGTGAACCCATGGGTGCCTTTGTGGGACGGAGCCTCCCGGGACAGGGTCTCTGTGAGCTGGACAGGGATGGTGGAGAAAACAGCCGTGTCGAGTGTGCTTTAAAATTTAAATGCCCTGCGTGGCCGGGAGGGCTGTGGGCAGGGAACAGCTGCCACCACCACAGCCACCCCCTTCGCTCCTGTCTCATCCCAAATTCCTGACGCAGCCGGCGGCTCCCGGCAGCAGATGCTCTGTGTCCCCAAAATCGTCCTGGTTGTTTCTAAAGGAGCCAAGGGGAATGTTGTCCTTGCACGCCTCGTGCTGGGTGTTGGACCTGGGCACATGGTGGGTGAGGACTGGGGGTTTGCCTGCTCCCCACCTCTGCATCCCGTGCTGAGTCTGGGTCAGTGCTGTTGGAACAGCCCCACAGGGAAAAACCACCCTCTTTCATCACAAAAGGAAGTGGAGGAGCAGGCACTGATCTCTCTGGTGACCAGCAATAGGACCCAGAGGAATGGCTGGAGCTGTGTCAGGGGAGGTTTAGGTTGGATATTAGGAAAAGGTTCTTCCTCCAGAGGGTGGTGGGGCACTGAACAGGCTCCCCAGGGCAGTGGGCATGACCCCAAGGCTGACAGAGCTCAAGGAGTGTTTGGCCAATGCTCTCAGGGACAGGGTGGGATTGTTGATGGATCCTGTGCAGGGCTAAAAGTTGGACTCAATGATCCTTGTGGGTCCCTTCCAACTCAGGATGTTCTATGAACCTCTGCTCTACACTTGCATGAAGTAGGGAAGAACTGGCATGTGGCAGGCACATTTAAAACAGTAGTATGTATCCTATAACATTTTTGTACCTGAGAAATACACACCAAGCTCCAAATCTGCCTCTTATTTCCCCAAGAGGGCACATGTGGAGTGGGTGGCCCTGCTGCAGCAGAGCCCTGGCATCGGGGAGCTGGTGTGACACCGTGTCCAGTGCCTGCTGCCTGTGCCTGTGTGCCCTCAGTGGAGTTAAGTGCAGTTAAGTTTCTCAGCCATACCCTCAGCCTTTGCAGCCTGGACACCTCCAGGAGTTCTGTCTGAAATTCAGGAGCCGAGTGTCTCCGGGATGGAGGAATTTGAGCAGATTGTCGTGCGGCGCAGAAAAGCTGGAGGAAAGGAAACCAAAAGCCAAGCGGCGTTTGGGCTGCTAATCCACTCAGTGGTTCTCTCTTTTATTATGACTTTTTATTATATCACTGCTGCTCCCCTCCTGTGTTAATATCTTTTCCTTGGAGCCTCGCAGGGATTCTCGGCATCTTTTCGGCACAGCTGTTCCCGGGACACAGGGAGCAGGAATGCTACGCTTGAGCAACCGCCTTTGTGGCTGCGGGTTTGGGGAGGAGGGTGTGAGCTGTGATATGAGCCACCATTTCTGAGGCTGATAGGACCGGCTTGTCTGTCCCCAGGGAGGGGGTCTGGAGGAAAGGCAGGCATGCACGGAGAAAAAAAATGCTCCTTAAAGTACTCCACTAAGTTGGAAAGGGTTCCGGGAGGGGGAGCGAGGGGCTGTGTGTGTGCAGAGAGAATGGCACACAGCATTAAAACACTGACTTGAGAGTGCTGAGAGCCTTCCTGGGGGCACAGCTCAGATGAGCTGGGTAGGGCTCCTGTTTTCAGCTGATATTGCAGGAACCATCCACATTCCCTGGCTGGCTGCAGGCAGCATCCCTCTGCAGGGTGCTGCCCACACCACATCTCCAGCCGCCCTCCTGCCTGGGCAAGCTATAAACTTACCACAAAACTCTGCAAAGCTGAATCTTGACCAATAAATATTGAAAAAACTCTGGTGTCCCTATTTACTGTGAAAATTAATCCCTCCAAGCCAGCACATAAATACCCTGCTGCTCCCCAGGTGTCCAGCCCTGAGCTGAAAGCTGAGCCGAGCTCCAGCATGCCCTGAAGTACCCTGCTCCTTTTCTGGGCCATATCCTCAGGATCCTTATGGGTCCCTTCCAACTCAGAATATTATGTGATTCTGACTCGACATGTGACTCTGTATCAGTTATTCCATGTTATTCTTGCATGACCTGCTCGGACCAAGGGAGGTGCTCAGGGGCATTGCGTGGGATACAGCAGAGCTTGTCCCCAGGAGGGTTTTGAGCAGGGTTGGGGTTAACAGGTTGCACAAACCTGGCAGTTGTGCAACAAGCCACCACATGCAAGGACGTGCAAAGGTGATAGTAGTGCACAAGGCAAATGGCTTAGGTGAAAAGTACCATCAGTCAGTTGTTAAATACATCCCCCTCACCCTCATGCTTTGCCCAAAATCCAGCTGGCGCCCACTGGAAAGGAAACCCCGTTGGCTGCTGGATGCAGCAAGTGCTAGCCATGGCAAACGCTCCCCAGGCAGGGAAGTGTTGGAGCTCTCAGGAGCAAGAAAACATTCCACAGGTTGTTGGGTTTTTATTCTTTTTTTTTCTCTCCCAGCTGCACACCCAGGGCTGGCGGTTGGTTTGCAGCCAGCGCTGTAGGCATGGGGGAAAAAATTCACACCAGGTTGCACACGTGTTCGAGCTATTATTGAAAAAGAGACCCCAAAATAAATGGCAAGGAGAGGGGCAGGCAGGTGGTGAGCTCCTGGCGGGAGCTGCTGCTGCTTAAAAGGTCTTTGTTCGGGCTGCAAACACCGCAGTGCTGAGCGCGGGTTGTGCAAACCTTCCCGGGAAGGAACCCAAAAACAAAGGGCCAGGACTTTGTTCCTTCTTTCCTAAACAGGTAGGAAATGGAGAAAGAGCGAATTTTAGCTCCTGAGTTTAAGTACTGCTGGAAAGGGAATTTTAAATCTACATTCCACAGGGCTAATTTTGTGTGGACCGGCGTGCACGCAGGAACGGTGATATATATGGCTGAAAACTGGTTCCCAGATGCCAAACCCAGGTTCTGGTATGCTGTCCTGGATCCTTCCAGGGTAACATTAACCATGGCTTTCTGAAAGCACTTCTACCCTTTCAACTCAGACATTGCAGTGAAGGAGAGAGACACAGAGAGTTTTGTTTTATTTTTAATATGAGGGTGATGGTTTTAAAGCAGCGTATGTTGGAACAGAGGACGAGGGGTGTGTGCCAGCTGAGAGGATTCAGAGTATACTCTCCTTGGGATAAGTATAGGATGATTTTTCATCTATGTGTGGTGTAGACTGTATCAGAATTGAAACCTTCTCTGTTGCTTGTCACCAGTCACTGCCAGGTTTGGAATAATGGTGATAATGACCCTAAAATGGAGAGTGAAGTTGCAACTTCTATGTGGGGTTGCAGTTTGCAGGGCTGCCACACAGGGCCAGAGTAAGCAGGTACACACTGATAGCTGTGCCAACTCAGTGCCTACTGCAAAGTGTTATTTACCTCTTCCACTACTTTAGAGTCTAACTTTTCATCTCCACAACACTTCTACTTGTGCAGTCTGGGCTTAGGGATGATGTAGAAAAGCTGGATGATGGTCTAGTTTCAGCAAATGGATGTGCCAAAGCCCTGGCAGCACAGTGAGCCCCAAGGAGCTCTGGGCAATCTGACCAGCCTGGCACCATCCAGCTCGCAAGGATTTCTTGTCTCCTTGCTGCTCTGCCTTGGGAATTGGATTAAGAAACTTCCTGGCATGAAAGCACCTGGTGCAAGTGTGGAGGAGCCCATAGGCAGTGAGCCCTTCCAGCTGGGGAAGGGGCGGCTGCAGCACCTGGATAAAACACCTCTCACCACCCACCACAGCCTCTGCTCAGGGCTCTGGGTGGGACGCTGGTGTGGGTAGCACTTTCTGGACAGCTGGAATCCAGACACAGGCCCTGGCACCAGGGAAAGGAGTCCCATAAAGGCAGAGCCACCAGCTGTGGCGGAGCCCTTGCACGGCTGGTGCTGCAGCCCCAGCTCTGATCAACCAGAGCCCTCATCCACTCCTAGTCCCAGCCCTGCCAAAGCACCTGCATCCTTGTTATTTTATTAGTGGAATAAATTGCCACTTAAAATATCCATTCTCCATAAGGCCTGGCCCCATTTTAGGCAGCTTCAGCTGAATACTTGCCCTTAAAAAAAAAATCCCCCTTCCCGTCTCCCTGTTGAATAAACCTATTATGTATGTTCCTTGTAGGTATCCCTGCTGCTGTTTTCCTTAGGGTTTTTTTTCCCTCTCCCCTTTCCTCTCTACCCTGTCATGGCCTATGATAACACATCACCATTAATAATAAGGACATCTCATTTCTTGTCACCGTTTTTCCATTGCTTGCACCTTTGGAGTGTCCTGGGGTGGCCACCCCACCACCAAATTCACAGAGGCAGTGCAGGGGTTTATTGCTCATTTCGTGGTGTTTAATGGTTTTTTTTTTTACAGTCATAACTCTTGGAGCCCAGTAACGACGTTGAGGGTCTCAGCTCTCGCCCCGTTGGTTAAAAAATGTCATTTTCTGAAGAGAAAAGCTTGAAGCTGTGATGCTTCAAGGCTCAAAATCCAAAAAGGGAATGAAACCAGTCTTAGGATTTTGGGGAGTCTGACTCATGATTTTTGAATGCCTGTGGTTGGCAATGCTGCATAGCTGATGGCCCTCAGCACAATACTGCTCAACTTCCATGTGAGACTCATTCCAGTCAAAGAAAAGCCTTTGTACTTTTTTTTCTTAAATCTTTGCATAGCTAAAATTTCGAACCAAGCGTGACTCGTCTGGAAGCTCCTCCAGGTTCTTGCAGGAATGTGTAACCTTTGGGGACAGGCAAAACTAAAGTCTGCACAGAAAAGGGGAGGCTTTTAAAGCCGTTGAAACTCTACAGCCATGACCATACCTGGGGTCACCGTGGTCGCTTGTGGCTTTCAAACTGCCCAGAGGTATTTTTAATAGGAATCTGATGGCGAGAGCAGCTTGGTGGCTTTGGCTTGTTCAGTTTGACTCAATATTTTGCAAATCTCCATGGATGAAACCCTCATGATAAATCATCTCCATCCACATTGCATGAAGGCACGCAGGGAGCAACTGTCTTGCCCAACACTGCGCCGTAGGTCACTCTGCAAGGGGCCAGGACTGCCTCTAAAGGACACTTCTTTTGATCTCCTTTTGCTTGTTTTAGTTACCCAGTGGCAGGCCAGAGTTGCAGCTCTTGAGAAGAAGGTAGGGCTGGCTGCCAGAGGCTTTTTTGGGGGCTTTGCCATGTTTTGATCCCCCTGGCAATGTTCTGTCCATGCAGGGACCTCACCCACTTGGTGGATGGCTTAAACCTGCCCAGGCCACACCAGTCTGGCCTGGAAATAACTGGTGTAGCTGTGCAGAAGTGAAACAAACTGGTCACTTCTGCAAGCAGTCTTAAAAAGGAAGAAGACCAATTAGTTG